GTTCCTCATTTCCATCTCCAGCCTCTCACCCCATTTCCATTTCTATTTTAACACCATTTGTTGCAGTCTTTCCAATTTTCCTTTGTGTTTTTGGTCTTTAAGTGGTTCAGTTTCTGGCCATCTGCAAGGTGACCATTCCGAGCCATGAGTGTTCAGGTTTCACTCAGCTGATGTGAGAAGCCCAGGCATTAACATGAAAGACTGAAAAATTAAAAAACTCCCTCCCCCAAAAATAAAAAAAAATAAAAAACTCCCCAGGTGGTTCCAGCTTGCAGCCAGGGTTGACACCCAGCAGCATATTGCTGCCCTGTCCTTTGCGAACACAGTAAACATGTACTTCTTATTTCCTCTCCACCCAGCTCATTCCAAGCGAATATCATTCTCCGAGGTGTTAGACATTTACTAGACTCACCCTTGATTTACGCAGCCAAACTCCCCGTCTGCTCATGCTTTCTAAGTTATGAGACGGTAGAGCTGACTTGTTGCCTTGATGATCTTCTCAATGTCTTTTTTCCTTCCTCATCATAGTTTAACTTGTGACTACATGGTCATATTTACCTGTGAGGGATCTGCATGCCAAACTTTCATTTTTTCTCTGCTTTTCCTAATCTACTTCTTTGGAACGTCTAGAAGCACATGGGTGCCTGGCCTCTACTTCCAACAGAAGGCCCTTTGACAGGGTTGCGGGTTGGTCAGGTAAGTTCTTTGGCCGATCAGTGCTCTAAATATTTATCTTAAAATAATCCTTACAACCCTACAAAATAGGTTTTATTCTTACTCTACACATGAAACCACCAAAGCCTAAAGGTTAAGGAACTGGACCCTGAAGCCCTGCGGTTTCCCTGCATGGTAACCTGTGTTCTGAGGGCTGAGGGGCAGGGGTAGTCAGGATGGAGATGTGTTAAAATAATCAAATTTTTAAAAATGCCTGAGAAGCACTGGTAGAAAGCAGCATGCTGATTAGTGGAGCTCTGTTAAGAAACCCCACCTCCCACCCCAGAGAGAAAACCATGGTGCGTGATGAAGGGGGGACTATGAGGAGGCAGGCTCCAGAAAGCCAGAAAATCCACCTTATTGAGCAGACAGCTGAGAATGAAATAAATCTCTCTCTTTTATCATCACGTGGAACATGTGGCCAAACCAAAGAGCAGAATGGATTAAACCTGGAGGTTCCTTCCCGCTCTGCTTGTAGTCAGCACTGTTCCCCTCTACATCCTGCTTGCTCCCTCGTTACTTAAAATGAGGTTTCTTCTACTACAACCTAGACTCCCTGTCCATCAAAATAAGATGTCTGTAGAAAATACAAATCAGATACTGAATGTCTGAATGTACACTGCACTCTAGAATTAAATCAAGTCTGTACCTGAGACACTCTGTTTTCAAAACAAATTACTTCTAGATCTACATTAATAAATAAATGTGTATTTTTCTTTTTTGGCTGCACCAGGTGGCATGAGAGATCTCCCAACCAGGGATCAGACTCCAGACCCCTGCATTGGAAGCACAGTGTCCTAACCACTGGACTTCCAGGGAAGTCCCTAAATTTCTGCTTTTTATTGGTTGAATCAAAGGAGACTGGTATCCCCCTTTTCACAGCATTAATTTACAATGCCTATTGTGTATTTCTTTAAAGTTGTCATCTTGAAAAAGAGGCAGAATTATAAAAAATAATATTACAAGACGTGTGATGTCACTGTCAAGAGCCACAAAATAACTTAATACCCACTGCCCATGGCCAAGAGGCCTGCTCTGCCAGGACAGGGAAACTGCCGAGGAGACGGCCAGCAGCCTGTGGTTTGGTTTCAACTACAAGTATAGGCTATGTGCGCTCCTTCAAGCCCTCCTCCCACGCCCAAACACCTAGTTTGGCTAACCAGTGACTATATCACAAAACAATGGGGAAAGAAATTACAGAAATGCCTGTGACAGTTACCAAGAAGGACAGTGTGAAGGCGTACTCAATCTATCACTTTCTCTTTGGTTTAGGTAACACAGAAAAATAAAGGGCTGACACAATACTGATTTTACTGAAGAATGTAATGAAATAAAGTGAAGGAAAAAAGAGGAAAATAGTGGAGACACAAAATTTTACACCAAAATTACGAACAGAAGTCATTTAAAAGAGAAATACTCTACGACAGATGAAGAAAGTTTTAATTTCTTTTCACATTAACCATCATATACCACAATCAGCTAACAGAAATTACTGTAACATTGGTCAAGATGACATAAAACTAAGGATAAATGTTTGTTATGAAGAAACCTCATTTAATGTGAGTGATGATGTCAGATACTACACTTTTCATGATAAGATACAATTTATCTTGAAGAGAAAGCAAATAAGTCAGATGAAGGAGACATGCTGAGGCTTTAACCAAGAAAAGCTTTGCCTTCCCCAGAACGCTTCAGTCCAGGACAACTCAGGTAAGAGACAGGACTTCAACACCACGTGCTGGGAGGGTCACAGGCCCGGAGCTCAGGCTGCGCGTACAGGGCTGAACCTCTGCAGCCCTCGCCTCTCGGTGAGCGGGCTACTGTTTCTGGCAGAGGGGTCTTCACTGGGATGTGCTATCGATTTTAACCGTCAAGCAGTCCCAAGAAATATTTTAAAAAGGGACAGTTGAGCATTTTCATGTATACACTATTAAGGCATCTAAATTTTTGGTGTTTTCAGTATATAATCTTACTGCTATTTTTTATTCTTTTTTCATTTTGCACAACAATGATATTAGGTATTAAGTGACACATTTCTTTCTCTACTAATGATCCAGTTTATCCATTGTGCAAACTCCAAATTGCAGTCTTGTTAAGGGAAATTTATAACGTGGGAACTCACAGAAAAATACATAGAAAACCAATAGGGAATGTGGTTAGCCATCATAAAATTTCAATCATAATTTAACTGATAGTCTTTAACTTTGGAAAAACAGAATAATAATTAGAATTAAAATAGGTATTCAAAGTAATTACCAGTAGTTTATATTAGGAAAGAATATAGCCATAAATGGCTTAATTGCCCAATTAAGTAACTACCAGATTCTTCTTTAGTCAACAGTAACAGAATTCACATTTGAGCCAGTCAACAAAGCATATAAATACTTAACATCTCGAATAGAACATCTTAGTGATAACAGAGACTACGTAATTCTACCCATTGTCATGACTGTGCACAAATTAACCAGGTTAAACATCAGAGATACACTGGGAATCCTCCCAAAACTAACAATAGAATATTCAACAAATTTTCTTAAAGATTCAGAAATAAAAATTGAACAATTATAACATGGATGAGACAGTACTTAAACAACTATCAACCTAATCAAAGACCTTTAAGATTACCACCAAAATGCACTATATTTTTTTATTTAGTGTACAGAAAGAATCTATAAGTACAGGTTGCAGAAAGAAAATGTTTAGTGCTATTTACATTCATTTTAAAACTCTGCTCTATACAAATTTAATTCTGATCAGTATGAACAATATTTTTGTAGATCTACTGCATATAAAGCCTTTTCATCAAAGCATTAACAATGAATAAAATAACCTGATTACCTTTAAACAAAGCTGACTGAAACCATTTATACTTACTGCTTGTAAGGGCCGAGGACACTCGTTTCAGTACAGAACATTATGTCAGCCTGCAACTTCATTTTTATAAAGGCTAGAGTTATTTATATGGAATATTGTTCTATATACTACACGCCAATCTATATTTAAGTTCTATAGTTAGGTATTTTATGAGGTTTTTATTAAATATATTCTACACATATTCGCAATTTCACCCAGGAAGAATTTCTTCCCAGTGAAAAAATATAAAATCTTTTATATTTTTTTTTTTTACAGGTTTAGATGAAACTAGCTCATGCTTTAGTGCTGTGCAAATTGTTTTTAGCATATCAAATTTTTAAATTATCAGTACAGAACAAAAGAATGGCATCCCTAATCAAGTATGCCCTGAAAATCAGCTTTTGATTTTAATACAATTGCAAGCACTAATACCCAAGGCAAACTACATAAAGAAACAAAATTAGTCCTATGGAGAATTTTTAGTTTTAAGAATTCATCTGAGCTCTCATTAATGAGTAGTATGACACAGGACACAGAGATGAGCAATAATTACAGAAAATTCAATTCGCTGATATTCAAATACATAAAAGTGGTGAATCAATGAGGTTTTCTAATATTTCTGTGCAATCAAGGAAATCTACTAGTGACTGGAACTCCCCTCCGCGTTAAGGCTAGGACGCGCGCTCTCCCTCTTGTGCTGTGTGAACAACCCCCAGTCAGTCTGACTGGAGCGCACGTGTGAAGGAAAAACTAATTTCACGAGCCCTCTGCCGAGCACTTCCAACAACAGGCACACTGTGTCTTTTCACTTGTTGCAGTGAGAACAGCAGCGCTCAGGGCAGGATTCTGGGCCAGGGCAGCCGCCATGGCTGACTTCGGTAGAATTCACCCAACATTTTAGTTTCTTTTCTATTTTTTCCTCTCAAGTTGGCCCAGCAATTAACTTCCTTAATTGCTGAGTGTCTTCCAGTGTGGATTTGCACATATGAGTATTTCTAGGTACCATAAACCATGTTATAAATTCTGCTGATGAAGAAAATAATTGTCAATCGTTTTTAGTGCAAAACTGTATTTTGAACACTTGATTTGTTAGTTCTGGTGATGAAAACTTTTGTGGCAGCAAAATGGTTTCTGCTATGAAAAATCACTTGTTAACTTTTCCCCTGGAGATTGACTTGCATTCAAAAATCAATTTATATTTATATTTTAAAACTGCTTAACATAAACAAAACTACTAGAAATAAAAAGTCATAGTGAAAAATGTTCTTGGTTCTTTTTACTTTCATGAGAGAAGATGACAGTGTTCACGTGGTAGTTGAGGTCCATGGGTCTACAGGCAGACTCTTCCTGAAGGTTCTGAAGCAATGCTGGGTCTCCCCTGGCCTGGCAGCATGAAACACAAAGACCACGCCACACCACGCCAGGCAGACCAGTTACAGGATGACACAACAGTTACTCTCTCCAGTCTTTTCACGATTCCTCTGACCTAGGGAAAATGAAGAGAAGCCTTGTTTATAAAAATACTTGGGGGAAGCACAGGGATTCCAGCATAAGAAACAGGGATTTTTTTTTTTTTTAATTAATGTTGGCATTTTTAAAAATTAAAATGCTATAATAAATACCCTTTTAGTTTTAGCCTGTTTCCAAAATGCCTGGTTATCCGATTAGCGAGCTCTGACCATACACTATGAAAACATCCTTTCCCCAGAATGTCCAAGAGAACTGGAGCCATTTGTGAATGCCTGCCTCTGTGGGGCAAGGCAGAAAGCTCCCAGCACACGGCTCACCTTGGGAATTTGGCTCTGGCAAGGTCTCTCTGGCCACCAAATGCATCACTGTTGTTTTGCCAAAAGGAAGCTTTAGTGCTGTGTGAAAAGAAGATAGTTTGTTACATATACATCAACCTGTTGGAATCACTCACCAAAATTGAGACCACTTTAAAAATTGACTGCTTTCTGTGACTTCCTCAACAGATAGCACTTCTTACTGGATACAGCATTTCTTACGTAATTAAATTAGGTTAATATTATCAGAAGCAATTTTTATAATTCAGAAATTATTTAGCTATGACTATTAGTTTGACATATATAAACATATTGTGTAACGAAGGGGAAAGAGAAAATACATAATTGCTTAACCTAATTTTATTTAGTCACCTAATAAAATTCCTGCATCAAAGAGGTCACCACAATGTAGAAATAGAAGAAATGACATATTAATGATTTTAAACATAATAATAATACATAATTTTATTATTTTTAACCTTATATTCTTCACTTAGAAAACAATTTTCTTTAAAAGGTTACTTTAAATAAACAAATCACTGTTTGGCATTATTAGTCATCACTGTTTTCTAATCAAGCCTTTAAAAGGCTTTTCTCATTTATAAGTCACAATTTTTATTATGAAATATTTCAGACATACAGTAATACAATGCACCCATGTATCTGTGAACCAGTCACACAAAGTAAATCCCTCTGTCCTTCTGTGTATAAAATGAGAAGCAGACAGTGGAGCTAAGGCCTGGAGCTGTTTCTGCAGCTGCAATGTTCTAGTTCTGAGTTTCAATCTACTCCCCTCACTTGGAAAATTGAAGGCAGGCTCAGATCAGTACTCAACAAGCTCAGTCTTCCTGCCACCCCCTCTTTAAATCTTCTCTATAGGATGATGGTTAAGAAGAGCCCTAATAATCTTCAATATTCCTAATATTTCATATAATCAAGGTGACTTTCCACCTTATTTAACGCTGTTGCTGCTGCCAAGTCGCTTAACGCTAGCCAGCCACTATTTGGTCTATTCTCTTAACTTCCGAAGTTGAAGTGAAGCATAACGGCCCCAAATACACAGTAGGCTGAAACAAGAGGAGTGCCCTTACTGGATAATCTCCTGGGCCTGCTTTAACACTGAAACGCAAACAAAATTTTCTACTACCAAACATTTCACTAAATGTATTGGGAAAGCCTGACTGAATTTGCAACATCTACACACCACGCTGTGGACCACTCTCACCCCGCTGCCTGACGGCAGGCAGCTGGCCCTGCGTTAAGAGCACATCCCTGACACTCACGGACTGTGAGATGGCTTCTGAGTGCTATCTGCCTCCTCCTGATGCCTCAGTTTCCCCCACCCAAACTGGGAGATGAATTCGAGCACCCACCCCTTACCACTGTTAAAAGAAACAATCCAGGGACGTGCCTACCTCAGGGCTTGGCCCAAAGCAGCACCCCATAAATTTTATTGCGATCACCATTATCATCTTTCTGAGCAGCAAGAAAAATGGGTCTCAGAAGAGGTATGCAAACTGAGATGCAAATGTGGAGAAACACTGTGGTCAGGCCTAGGAAGCTGCTGAGGGGCTTACGGATTCAGGCTACCCATGTGATTAATGGGGACGGTTACTGTTCTTCTCTATCTGAATTTTAACTCGAAAGAGCAGACACTGACACTAACGGCATCAGAGCAGAAAAAGGAAGAGGGACACAAGACCTGAGACGCCCTCTCTCCTTCATGTGGGGGCTCTGCCTTCTGCTGGGGCAATGCACAGCACTCAGGACACAGGTCCCCACGCTTCACACAGCAGCCAACGGGGGCGGGACACCCCTAGCAGACAGGGAGATGGACTGGGCGTGCAGAAATCTGCACTTAAAGGAAGATTCCAACACCCATGGGGTGGCAGGGTTACAGTACAGAGCAACCCTCAAACTGTGGAGAGCAGCCCAGGCCTGCTCCATGCTTGCTGGCCATTCAACCGTATGACCCTGTGCACTGTCTTCTCATTACTCACATTCAAGAATATAGGAGACAAAGAAACACAGTAACTAAAACCCCCCAAGGGGTGAATGTCATTACTTAGATTTACTGATCAACTTAGACGATCCAGGTTATACTCTTAATGTTATTTGTCAAAATCACAAGACTGGAAAGATGGTTTGGTTTTGAAAAGACTGATAGCAACACAGTAAATAATGTAAGTCAATCTATTAATCATTCAAAAACAAATTCCAAAAAACAATCAATGATTTGATTTTAACACAAATTCTATGATCTTTAACATGAAGTTGGAGCTTTAGGGACACAACAGAGAGGTAATTAAATTAAGTAGGTGAGGAAATGCTCACACAGGTCAACACTTAAAGGGAAGTGGAGTCTCAAGACGCCACTCGTGGAGTCAATAGGTTAATTCAGGCCACATCTCCCAGTGACATTCCAAGAGTTACCTGAGGCACAGAAAATCAAAGAAAGACTAAAATACGGTCCCATTTTCAATGAATGTGAAATACAGCCATGGACAACACTTGTAATTACATACTGAAACATTCTGTCATAATAATCATTTGCATTCATCTACTCCAGCCCTGTCACACAGTATTTTAACAGTGAATTTTATCTGCTTCTACTATTTAATACCAGAGTACCCTGAAGGAAGAGAGTCTATCTTTTTCAATCCTGTATCTTTAACTGTTTAGCACTGTTGTCACATAACAAATAAACAGATGCTGAATGAATGAAAATATCCTACCTTTAAGGAAGATCAGATTAAACACTTCAATTGTTAGGTTTAGAGGAAAAATCTCATGACTATATGTATACAAAGATACATTAAGGTAGATCACTTCCTCTGCCTACAAATTTCTATTGATAATTATCATAATATATTTGAAATACTTGTACTTAAAGAAAAACAAATTCTGCTCATGGTAGAAAATGCACCCCCATGAGGGGGCACTATTGAGCCACGTCTCTTCATTCACACATAAAGAGCGGTAATAACTAACGAAGTGTGTAACAGGTGTCAAGCACTGTTCTGAGGGAGGCACTACGGTTATTCTAACTTACTGACGAGGAAACCACGACACTAGGACAGCAAGCAGGGAAGTGACTGGCTCAAGGTTAAGGAGCCAGTGAGCAGTGGAGCTAAGCTCCAACATGGACAACCTGGCTCTAAGGTCTGCTCTTCCAGTCACTATACTTACCTGTTTCTCTAACATGACTCACTTACCTGTATTTCTGCATGATTGGCAATTCCATCAATTACAGTCAAAATGAAAACAACCCTTGATTATTATATCTGAAAATCCACCATCATAAACTTCACCGAGTTTGTGTCTCTGGCTTTAACTTAAAAATATGACATCTAAATTATATTATCCAGAAGTAAAATTAAACTACATTTATAAAATAATAAGTGTGGACTCCCATCTCTAACGGCTTAAGAGTTTATTTTACAAGATGGTAAACACTTACGCATAGAGCTGAAATTAGAATGCAAAATGCAAAAATGTAGACATACCAAAAACTAGGCAAAGTTCATAGAGTTTGAAATTTTATGTTTTTAGCAAAACCAGACATAAGCATCTAAACAAACAAATGAGTGATGCTGCTGCAAGCCAGGCACTAAGTCCCATTACAAAGGTGACCATTACCTCCTAATGTGACATTTCCGTGCAGAAATCGTCCTTGATAAATAAGGCGTAGAATATTTGGACTGCTAACCTGCTCTTCTTCCCAGTCTGAAAAGAACCAGGGAATTGTTAGGTGCATTTCAACATAAAATTAAGGTATTACCGCATTGTTCTAAAATTCCGATCTCAATCAGAGGAAGAATATCAGAGAGGTCACCTGGAGCTTCCTGCTAACTGAAATAATCACAACTCTAGAAAGCAATGTTCTCGCTGCGTCTCACTACACAGCAGGAACTGCTTAAGATTAGTCTTTGCTTCTTAGAGAACACAAAATGTGCCAGAACACAGTCCTGAAGTTTAAAAACTAAAACAAATGAGTTGGGGAAAGTCTAATCCTAGTTAAAAAGAAGTCAGTTGAAAATTAATTTTTATTGAAATAACAGAAAACATTGCAATGTTCCAGTATCTGTACCTGTTAAAACATGTGTTTGAGGCTGGAAACAGAATGTTTAACAAAGATTTTTAAAAGCATTAGGATATTGGTAAAGAGCATAACAAAAAAAATTATACCTCAGTAACTAGAAAATAAAAATTTTAAAAAGCAGAACAGTGTCTACTTTTTGATAATGTGGATAACTTTATTGCTTTTTTCAAAGCCAATTGATAAACGTGACAGAAGATAAAATTTTAGTTCACTTTACCGAAAATTCTCAGAATGAACTTGAAAAACAATAGATATTAGAAGGTACTATACAAGTGTGAAATCTAGGATAATGTACAAAGACAATCAAAAGACAACTGGTGTGTAGAATGGATAACAGAATACTTCAGTTTAGCGTATAACTGACCTTATTATGGTAAAACATGGAATACGATTCTGTCAAAATAGTGGTTTGAGGACACTCTATCATGACAAAGTATAAGGTTAGTAATTTTCACTACCTTGTAGATACAGAATTTAAAGCTGTGATTTTGATAGAGATTTGAGAATTCCATCACCACCTTTCTTAAGAATTCTAGCATCATGTGTGTGTTTCCTACAGAAGTTCCTGCTTTCATGAGATAACTGTCAACACAAAGACTAATTTAAAACATTCTCTCAAGAGCAAGTGACAGAAGATAAAGGAGGTGAGTGCAGGGCTCTCCCTGTTGCCTTGTTTTGACTATTCAAAATAAAGAACATGAGTTTGATACGACCAGTGCCTGTTGGTAACTCAGCATGAATGGAAAGGAGAAATGAACCTCAGCCCCACCCCAGCCCCGCCCCCAGCCTCTCCTCCCATCCTGTCCCCCTTCAGTGCCTTCTGACTCCCATGATCCCAGGTCCGTCTCCTCTAGAAGGAAGATCAAATAATTTGTTAACACTTTGGTAGCGACTACTTTGAATTCATCACACCCAAGATTATTGTAAATGGAATGTTTCCTTTTTTCCTTTAGCATTGTTCATTTTGTCAATAAATTTGGAAGACTCAGCAGTGGCCACAGGACTGGAAAAGGTCAATTTTCACTCCAATCCCAAAAAAGGGCAATGCCAAAGAATGTTCAAACTACCGCACAACTGCATTCATTTCACATGCTAGCAAGGTAATGCTCAAAATCCTTCAAGTTAGGTTTCAACAATATGTGAACTGAGAACTCCCAGATGTACAAGCTGGATTTAGAAATGGCAGAGGAAAGGAGATCAAACTGCCAACATCCACTGGATCATAAAAAAAGCAAGAGATTACAGAAAAACATCTATTTCTGCTTCACTGATTATGCTAAAGCCTTTAACTCTGTCAATCACAACAAACTATGGAAAATTCTTAAAGAGACTGAAGTACCAGACCACCTTACCTGCCTCCTGAGAAACCTGTATGCAGCTCAAGAAGCAACAGTTAGAACCTGGACAAAAGACCTATACATAGAAAACTATAAAACACTGATGAAAGAAATCAAAGAGGACACAAACAGATGGAGAAACATACCGTGTTCATGGATTGGAAGAATCAACATTGTCAAAATGGCTATTCTACCCAAAGCAATCTATAGATTCAATGCAATCCCTATTAAGCTACCAACGGTATTTTTCACAGAACTAGAACAAATAATTTCTCAGTTTGTATGGAAATACAAAAAACTTCGAATAGCCAAAGTAATCTTGAGAAAGAAGAATGGAACTGGAGGAATCAACCTGCCTGACTTCAGACTATACTACAAAGCCACAGTCATCAAGACAGTATGGTACTGGCACAAAGACAGAAATATAGATCAATGGAACAGAATAGAAAGCCCAGAGATAAATCCATGAACCTGTGGACACCTTATCTTCGACAAAGGAGGCAAGAATATACAATGGAAAAAAGACAACCTCTTTAACAAGTGGTGCTGGGAAAACTGGTCAACCACTTGTAAAAGAAAGAAACTAGAACACTTTCTAACACCATACACAAAAATAAACTCAAAATGGATTAAAGATCTAAATGTAAGACCACAAACTATAAAACTCTTAGAGGAGAACATAGGAAAAACACTCTCCGACATAAATCACAGCAGGATCCTCTATGACCCACCTCCCAGAATATTAGAAATAAAAGCAAAAATAAACAAATGGGACCTAATTAAACTTAAAAGCTTTTGCACAACAAAGGAAACTATAAGGAAGGTGAAAAGACAGCCCTCAGACTGGGAGAAAATAATAGCAAACGAAGCAACAGACAAAGGATTAATCTCAAAAATATACAAGCAACTCCTGCAGCTCAATTCCAGAAAAATAAATGACCCAATCAAAAAATGGGCCAAAGAACTAAACAGACATTTCTCCAAAGAAGACATACAGATGGCTAACAAACACATGAAAAGATGCTCAACATCACTCATCATCAGAGAAATGCAAATCAAAACCACGATGAGATACCATTACACACCAGTCAGGATGGCTGCTATCCAACAGTCTACAAGCAATAAATGCTGGAGAGGGTGTGGAGAAAAGGGAACCCTTTTACACTGTTGGTGGGAATGCAAACTAGTACAGCTGCTATGGAGAAAAAGGGAACCCTCTTACACTGTTGGTGGGAATGCAAACTAGTGCAGCCGCTATGGAGAACAGTGTGGAGATTTCTCAAAAAACTGGAAATAGAACTGCCATATGACCCAGCAATCCCACTCCTGGGCATACACACTGAGGAAACCAGATCTGAAAGAGACACGTGCACCCCAATGTTCATCGCAGCACTGTTTATAATAGCCAGGACATGGAAGCAACCTAGATGCCCATCAGCAGACGAATGGATAAGGAAGCTGTGGTACATATACACAATGGAATATTACTCAGCAATTAAAAAGAATTCATTTGAATCAGTTCTAATGAGATGGATGAAACTGGAGCCCATTATACAGAGCGAAGTAAGCCAGAAAGATAAAGACCATTACAGCATACTAACACATATATATGGCATTTAGGAAGATGGTAATGATAACCCTATATGCAAAGCAGAAAAAGAGACACAGATGTACAGAACATACCTTTGGACTCTGTGGGAGAAGGCGAGGGTGGGATGTTTCGAGAGAACAGCATGGAAACATGTATATTATCTATAGTGAAACAGATCACCAGCCCAGGTTGGATGCATGAGACAAGTGCTCCGGCCTGGTGCACTGGGAAGACCCAGTGGGATTGGGTAGAGAGGGAGGTGGGAAGGAGGATCGGGATGGGGAATACATGTAAATCCATGGCTGATTCATGTCAATGTATGACAAAACCCACTACAATACTGTAAAGTAATTAGCCTCCAACTAATAAAAATAAATGAAAAAAAAAAAGAAAGAATGAGAACCTGGACATGGAACAACAGACTGGTCCCAAATTGGGAAAGGCGTTTAAGTCAAGGCTATATACTGCCACCCTGCCTATTTAACTTATATGCAGAGTACATCATGTAAAATGCCAGGCTGGATGAAGCACAAGCTGGAATCAAGAATGCCAGGAGAAATATAACTAAGATCATGGCATCCACTCCCATAACTTCATGGCAAATAGATGGGGAAATGATAGAAACAATGAAAGACTTTATTTTCTTGGGCTCCAAAATCACTGCAGATGGTGACTGCAGCCATGAAATAAAGACACTTGCTCCTCGGAAGAAAAGCTATGATGATCCTAGACAGCATATTAAAAAGCAGAGGCATCACTTCGCTGACAAAGGTCCATTATAGTTAAAGCTATGGTTTTTCCAGTAGTCATATACGGATGGGAGAGTTGGACCATGACGAAGCTGCGTGTCAAAGAGTTGATGCTTTTGAACTTTGGATTTGGAGAAGACTCTTCAAAGTCCCTTGGGCTGAAAGGAGATCCAACCAGTCCATCCTAAAGGAAATCAGTCCTGACTATTCATTGGAAGGACTGATGCTGAAGCTGAAGCTTCAATACTTTGGCACCTGATGCAAAAAGCCAATTCACTGGAAAAGACCCTGATGCTGACAAAGACTGAGGGCAGGAGAAGGAGGAGGCAACAGAGGATGAGATGGCTGGATGGCATCAATGAATCAATGGACATGAGTTTGAGCCAATGCTGGGAGATAGTGAAGGACAGGGAAGCCCGGCACGCTGCAGTCCATGGTCTCAGAGGTGGACACAACTCAGCCACTAAACAGACAGCATCACTCTCAGACATTTACAAACGCTTTTCACAGTCTCACTTTCCTATCCTGCCTGGCTCTGAAGATGATCCAGTATTCTAAGTTTAGTTACTTCAGCTCTTCTGAAATTCCTTCTTATCTATGACCTTTAGCTCCAGTCTCTTTCTGATTCAGGAGCTAGTGCTGACTTGTTCCCTGGTTATCAGCGAGAAGAAAGACCCAGTCATTTCAAAGTATTTGTCTAAAGCAGTATTTCTTAAACTCAGGTCTATGAATCCCTAAGACAGGTTCTTTGGGTCTCAAAGTCCTCGTCAAGAATTTTTAGATTGTGTTTTCATTTTAATGATAACCTGGATGAGATTATCTAGATAATTCAAATTATTACCTTACAACCAAGAACAGCCTTGGGACTTTAGCACTCATGTATGCATTTAAGCTTATGATTGTACTGGTGCCAAGCAGTACTTCTTTAATTGTCAAGAGGTTAACAAGAAAAGAACAAAGGTCGACTTAATCCATAAATGACACGTTCCTGTCAGTGAAGGCTGAATGACAATTTGGTACACTGTGTGAATGAAGAGTCTGTGGTAAATCCACACATACCTGGGTTCTCATACAGCCAGCGGGAGAGGAGGCACGCCATACTCCACAGTACCATATTCATGGGGCAAGCAGTGAGTGGGTTTTAGCAAAAATATGCCACATGGCACATTAAAGTTGTTAATTTAAACATTACTGGTTTTAGAGCTATATTTGCATTTTCTTTGTAGATTGGTTATAGTTTTATGGTTGTGTAGAAGTTAATAAGGATTAAAGAGTTTCTTCTAAAAGAGTTTCATATAATATTATTTTAGGTTGAGCAGTACTGATCTAATTGATTCATTTTGTATACACTGTGTTCTTTGTTAACACAAGTCTTGTGCTTTAAAAGTACAAACTGTTTTGGCTAGCTCCTCTGTCCATGGAATTCTCCAGGCCAGAATACTGGAGTGGGTAGCCTTTGCCTTCTCCAGGGGATCTTCCCAACCTAGGGATCGAATCCAGGTCTCCTGCATTGCAGGTGGATTCTTTACCGTCTGAGCCACCAGGGAAGTCCAGTAAAATTAGTGAAATCAGCACAGTCGTATCACTAGGTACATGCAATTGAGAGGATCAAAATGACTTGGGTTAGCTTCACAGGAAGAACACAAGCTGAAGACTCATTTGAGGATGGCATGAGTCTTATTACATGGAAAAGAACCAGAGAAAGATCTCTCTCTCTCTCTCTCACTCACACACACACACACATAAACGCATACACTCCAAAATTCTGTCATGGATATTGGCTTGAAAATGCAAGGCATAAATGGATTTTATACCTCACTTGACCTTGTAGTAGTTCAAAAAACAAAGGAAGTGACATGAATGAGATATTCATTTTCTGTCAAATGCTATGCTAAGCAGGTTGTGTATAGAATAGACCAAAAATAAAAAACATGTGATATAATTTGTTAAAGATAGTTTTTCTTTGTTTTTACTTTGTACTTTGGTGTAAAGAGAGTTACTGATACGAAAGTGTGTGTGTGTGTATTGGCTACCTTGTGTTTTACTTTAAAAAATAATTTTCTTTTCCATTAAAACAGCTGTAAGGCCACCCAGCAACCTGATGCCCAGGCTCCTTTACCATTCTGCAGTGAGGGAGCTGAAAGGCCAAACCCAGCAGGGATGCAGCAGGCCCTTCAACTTTAAGCCTTGTACCCTCAATCATTCGCTTGTTTTCTTTTATTTTACTTAACAACTTTTTCAAAATGTCTGTGAAACAAGACAGGGCATAAAGAATCAACATTATTCATTCTCAAGAGAAAACCACCACTCACCCATCGGCCAGTTGTCATACACGTGCTTTGCGATGTCAGAAGCAGAATCATTAGGAGAAAATAGGAACTCTTTCGTTTTCCCGCTTACCAAGATGAGGCGCAAGTTTATCTGAAAGAAGACAATGATTCTTTTAAAATCTTACAAATTTTAAAGTAAAATAATGACTTGTAGCCTTTTCATTTCAATCACATTCTCAATTATTACTAATGCCATTTTCTGTTTTTTATTTACTTAAATTCTGAAAAGATTCTTTTTAAAGGTCTGGAATTTGAGACATGATTTTATTTTCATTATTTAATACGTGTGTGTTGTGTGAGGATATATTTACCATATAAATGAACAAAGGGAAAGCAAAATTCATTACGCTTTTAAATTTACTCCAGCAATGTTCAGAATTGGACTTTTACAGGTTATCGCTCTAACTATAAAATACACATTTTCCACTGAACAGCTAATACAAGTTGTTACCCTGCAGATCACATCACTAAATAGGAAAAAAAATTCAGTTGCTAATATGCTTCTTAGAAAAAAGGAAGAGAAAAAACAAACTACATACAACTTTTTATCCTATAAAAATTATTCAAACCTAAACAAATTAACCAGAAACTGTAATTTTGAAGAACTTCATTAGAGTTAATTGGAAGATTCAGTAACAGTAGTTACTTTCACCCCAATTACATGATCATTCACTTTCGTGGAGCTCTGTGTAACAAAGAGCACAGATTCACCCTCAGTGGGAAAACCTAAGAAGGACAATAGAATTAACATTCTTGAGAGCCACTGGATTTACATTTCCAAGTCAATATATATTTGCTTATACCATTCTTAATATAGTTTCCAAAATGTTCACTTTAAAATTTTTATCTTTGTCCAGAGTTAACAATTTTTTTCAACCACAATATTCATTCATCTCCCTTATAAGTTACAGATATATAGGTGAGGTTTTCTATACCTGTAAGGCCTCTGTTATACGAGAGGAAATAACACATTCTTTAAAAAGAAGGGTACAGCCAGAGCCCAGTTTCTCTACACACAGAGCACAGAGACTGCCAATGCACCAGGTTACCCAAGTTCTCCTCCTCAGTTACTAACATCTTTTTATTATTATTAAAAAAAAAAAAAACCAGTAAATCTGTAAGATGACAATGAATAAACTGGAATCCACTGCAGCACCACCAAGATACCAGGTCACTCATTTACTATCTGCCACCACCATGGCCACTGCTATTCTCAGTACCTCAAAATCACCACTTTGAAAATGTATTGATAATTATAAAATATCTCCTCTAGGAAAATGCTATACACACCCAACTCTGCATTCAACGGGATGTAACTGGATTTCACAGCAGATGGAGTAGAATCAGGTTCCATATTAGAATCTGTATTCTAACTGCTATGTACCCTATTATCTCAATTTTTAAAGTATTTCAAAAGATAAAAGAAAAAGAAGTCTACATTTCAGGTGAAAAGCCTCTTCGATATGACCTGTGAGAATTTTTGCTGCCTTTCCTAACTAAAATGAAATTATACCAAAGAACTTACTACAGGAAGAGGTCTGATGAAACAACACTGTTGGAAAGAAGTAATTTGATCCAGGAACCATAAGTTCCATTAGAATAAAATTCAAGGAAGAGTTTACAATAATGATTCAGTTGTAAGAAAACACCACCTTCTTTCTTTACCACAAGTAAGTAATGAGTGACTGCTAAAGCAAGGAGCCTAATGTCTGCACAATACAGTGTGAATTTTAGTTCTCACACATACATAACTATTCAACACTGTCTCTGTAGGTGTGAATATGGGCAAATATCTATTTGCTCTGAACTTACAAAGAATCTTTTAATAGCTTCAAACTACTGCGGAAGGGCCCTTCAGCCCTTAATGCCCAAGAAATTATGCCCTTCAAAATGGGTCAGCCACATGGCTGCTTCACTCAGAAAGAAATATAATTAAATCTAGGCTTCCGAAGAGTTATGTAAATGATAGGAACCTACTATTTCCTGGGATCAACTTTAAAGTTAAAAATTAATTTCTACTGAGCTTTTATTCAAGTTATAATATTTTAAAATAATGAAGAAAATAGGAGGACTTAACCATTATTTTCCGCAAAGGTTACACTGACACATACTTTAGATTTTCCCTAATATCCATCAGCAAGAAAATGGAAAAATAAATGATGGTGCATCCTTATCATGGAAGCTTCCTACAATCATTAAATGACATGAGATACAGACCTATATGATTTGATGTGGAAAGACATCCACAATGTATTAAACAAAAAATAATACACACCTCCACCTCATAAATACATAATGCTAACTGATACTGCGAAGTTCTTGGCTTTTCCTATTTTAAACCTGATACAATCACTGTCACTAATAAACTCACATTTCAAAATCAATGGTCTAACAAATTTATGTTTATCAAGATGATCAGAATGTTCAAAACTTTTGGCCTGTAGATGTGTCTGACACAGTTAATTTTTGTTTTAAATGTTTACAGGTGGATATGAACTTTTCAGTTTGACACATATCCTCTCAATTTACTCATGCTGGTCTGCTTTATACACTTATACCTGGATGGCCACAGAAATTAGGTTTATAATTCATGGTACAGTTTGAAAGTGGCTTTGAGCTACAAATTGAGAAAAAAAAGTAGAGTAAATCTTGAAGCAATCATCCAAACATCTAGCTATATAGGTTGGTCAGTAGTTAATTGTTCTTATAGTATAGTTAGGATTTCCTCAGTGGGTAAAGAGGGCAATGCAGGAGACAAAGGAGACGTAGGTTTCATCCCTGGGTCAGGAAGATCCTCTGGAGAAGAAAATGGCAACCCACTCCAGTGTTCTTGCCTGAAAACTCCCATGGACAGAGGAGCCTGGTGGGCTACAGTCCACGGGGTCGCAAAGAGTTGAATACCACTGAGCAACTAAGCAAGCACAGTATAGGTAGAATCTATCATGCTTATTCAGATAAAATGTTAATTACAGCTCCTCTCAGTAAACGTATAGCAATTTCTACAAATGTGAGCTAGTTTCTTTAGAAAGATTAAATATTAATTATTTAAATACTTTTTAATGAAAGACCTTTTTTCTTCTTTGAAGCCAAGGCAAGTCAATCTATAAAATACCTTAAAAGTATCTCTGCTTGTGAGGTACTGGGATTCTCAACACATCAACAGTGGGTTATAAACAACACTCTTATTTATAGCTTAAAATGTGATATACTCATATACATACTCATCTAAAAACAAAACTGGTCATCAGGACTCTGAATGACTTGGTAGGAGATGGAGTTCTTATTACGGAATAACATACCCAGGGGATGGCACTTAGACCATCCAAATGAATGATATACATTTTACAATTACTTTGGAGGCAAAACAAATCAAAACAAGACTATCAGTGAAGCAGAACTACCAGGATCATTTCCTGTAAAGACAACTGAAACAAAAGAAGCTCTTTCATGCATGTAATTTCAAGTTTATTTGTTCTTTTTAAGATTTTCAGTCAAACTGATAGGGATTCCTATTTGTTGGATTATATCAATTTGGAGAAAATTTATCTACAGCTTAATTCACTCAACCATTTGTTTTGAGTAGGTCAGGATGGAAAAAAATTAAGAGGAAAGAAAGAGGGGGAATGGAAGATGAGATTAACTGGAACAGCCTTTGGAAATAAAACAGATTATGGAGATGGACCATGCCCTCTGAAAGAAATATGACTGTTTTTCACAAAGAGATCAACACACTGATCAAAAGGGGAACTCCTGACTTCTCCAAGAATCTCTGAGGAGCAGAGTGAGTCCCGGGGCACAGAGGGGAGGCCTCTGCCTGTGCCTTTGTGAGGCTCATTCCTGCCTGTTTTTGCTAAAGGACAGGTAAGCGGCCAGTGGGAAAGAGGTTAGACTTTCTTTGCAAATCACTTTTAAAAAGTTCTCAATTTATCTCAAGGGGATTATATTGAGTTAAAAAAAAAAGTCAATTCAAAAGAAGACGCTGTATATATGATTCCATTTATACAATATTTTTGAAATTACTAAATTAGAGATGAAGAGGAGTGGTGGCCAGGTTCTAGGAAGACAGGAAGGGAGACAGTGGCTGTGTCTATAAAGGGACATGTAGGGATCCTTGGGGTGGAACCGAAACGTGTGCTGCTGGGTAAGCGGCCTGTGAATCTGCACAGAACTACATACGCACAGACACTAACGAAAGCATGCGAAATTGGAGAGCTCCGAATAAAGCCTGTGGATTTTATCAGCATCCACTCCCTGAGGCTACTGAACTAGTTATAAGATGCTAGCTATCATTAGGGAAAACTAGGTGAAGGGTGTATGTGATTTCCCTGTACTATTTCTTACTATCCCATATAAATCCATAATTATCTCAAAAAGATTATTTTAAAAAATTAAGAGCTTGACTTTCTAAAAATGTATATGGTATTGTATGTTTGTCTTTATTTTTCTTATTTTCACCTGAAGGTGAACAGTGCTTTTTAAAAAATAATCCTGTATCAAAATAGCCACTTGACCTAGAGGAAAAATATAAACTATCAGTGACTTAAGTGACTTAACTAACAGTATGAGGCTGAAAACAGATAAGCGTATTTTTTTTCCTAGAACTATGGACTTAAATGGCATGTTTTGAATTTCTGTTAACTGCATGTTAAAGAAAAATGGAACGAAGGAGGAACATGCTCACGTTTCTACACAGGACTGATTAAAAACAAATTATTCAAATAACTGCAGTGCTTAGAGATGATGATTACATATTCATAAGCTTTCTTTTAGTTGTTCACTTATTCATTTTCTGAAACAGATCTGCACTTGGTGCCTGATTACAAAATATTTAACGTGAAACTTATGGAGATTTCATACCCTGGAAGCTAGGAGACATACAAACAACTGATTGTGGAGGAGGGGGTGGCTACAAAGTGCTCAACAAGTATCTGCCAAATGAATATAAGAGAAAAGAGAGGAGAACCTGTGAGTTGGAGATTCCAGGGCAGGGTGCGTATGAACAGTGGCCAGAAGTAAAACTGCTACTACCCATGCACCTTGAGTACTTTAGTACTCGGCCTAGCGGACTCTGACGCTACCACCCACATCTCA